GGGGGGGTTGTTTTGCTTGCCCTGCTGGCTTTTTTCCCTTCTGTGATTTTCTCTTTTTTTCCCAAAATAAGGGGTGAGGGCCCGACCCCCCTGGGCCTTCCCCTTAATCCACCACTGCATAGTATATTCACCAGATTTTCAAAAGTTTTTCATGCCATTTTCAAGGATTAATTCCCCAGGTTTTTCATGCATTTGATACCATGAAAAACCCTTGGAAACAACATGTTTTATGCATGTTTTAGGGTCCATGAAATTTCTTATCTTTTTGTCAAGCCCATTAAATAACCATGAAAAAGCCATTAAAATGCAGTGTAGACTGGAGCTGGTTTTTGATGGAATTTTAATGGTGATAAAAATCCCATGAATTAAACAGCATGAGTTTATGGTAAATCATGTCATTACCAAAATTCATGGCTCATGAAAAACTTGTGTTTTTTCCCTGAATATGGCCATTTTAATGGTCCATGAAAATTTTCTCACTACTTTAATTACCTTTTCACGGAATTTTTATGGTCCATGAAATTTGACTCCCTGTTAATTTCATGGAATAAATGATTACAACTGCAACCCATGAAAATCAAATTAGTCCATTAACTCAAAACAACTAAACACTTTTATTCCATTCATTTTGATATTATTACAATAATTTTTGTTTCATCATAATTTTCTAAAATCTTATTTGCTAAAAAATAAAAAAAAAAAAAAGTAATGATAATAATCGACTGGTTTGTATGGCCTGGACGTAAAAAGTATCCTGGGTACTCGTATATCTGGACTTATTGACAAGTTATGTCAGACAACAAAAAACACACTTGGCTACTGGTTCAAAGACTTCTAGTAAGATGCACAACATTAACTGCTCTGCTAGGTTGCCCTCTCTAAACGGTTTGTTGGTCTTTTCACCTGTAAAAATTACAAATCAAATAAATTCCTACTGATAAACTTTTTCTTACCTCGAATTCACACACGTTTGGAGTTTTTTTTTTTTGGCTTGTAAGATCATAGTCGAGAAAATGGATTATAACTTCAAGTGCAACAACAGAATGGTAAGTCCTGGGAGATTACATTCACAAAAGTGTAATTTTTCGCACTCTTCTCTTCTGAGCTGTTTGCAGAATCTCATTTCAGAATTGTATTCTTGAACGCAATTCAGGAAATTCTGTTGCTTCATGACACGCGCCTCCATGAATTTCGTTTTAGCACAAGCAATGTAACTTGCCGTGAATTCTGTAGATTGCTGTCACTTACATGTAAGCCTGGAGGCTTTTTAAAACTTTGTATTGCAAAAGCACAACACAAACTATTGTGCGAGCATTTCTTATCAGGAAATAATTGTGAATATTCTTAATCGCGGGTCCTAAGAAAATCAGGAACACGAGCATTGTTCTAGAGTTTCAATGAAATGAATAACAACAAATCGCTTCAGCCATTTGTAATGTCGAGCAAAAATTACAATTTACTTACTTTTCTGCGACTTGCCTTCCCTTCACTGAAGCAACCATAATGCTCATTTGAACTTGCACGCATCATTTTAAAGGGAATTCTATGCTAAAACTATTTACAAAGATTAAGATCGATATCGGGTGAAAACCGACTCTTTCGGTGTGGTCATCCGCTGGTCACAAGTATACATTTGTCACATTTTCCAAAGCATTATGGGACGGAAGCATCAAAATGGCGGTCAAAGAGTTGGGATTTGGTAATCACAACTCTGTCCTCATTTTAAAACCGTATTATTCGTTGGAAATTAGTCGGAAATTGTCTTCAGATGCTCGTTGTGATTCCAGTTGAGTCAAGTTCTTGTGAAGGTGGAAAAATATGGAATTTCATTGGCAAAACAGTAATCAAGCTATGTTTGATGATATGATGCCTGTAAGATGAGTGAAGGCGGCTAACATGTATTTTACACTGGTCGGGTTTACAGAAAGCTTACGGTTCCTGCAGCTTTCCAACAGGTAAACTGATTTTTTGCATCATTTGCAAAAGCTCTTGAAATACTGGAAACGTATTGATCATCATGCAAAGATTCCAGAAGATTAGGTCTTGTTGATGCGATTTCTTGGAACGGGGTTGGTAACGTAAGTGTAAATAAGTGTACGTAAAACAAAACTTGAGAGCCAGGCATAAGAGACGGTTAATTTAAATCTGTTTACACTTCAACCNGCGGTCAAAGAGTTGGGATTCGATAATCACAACTCTGTGTTCATTTTAAAGCCTTATTATTCGTTGGAAATTAGTCAGAAATTGTTTCCAGATGCTCGTTGTGATTCCAGTTGAGTCAAGCTCTTGTAAAGGTGGAAAAATATGGAATTTCATCGGCAAAACAGTAATCAAGCTATGTATTTTACACTGGTCGGGTTTACAGAAAGCTTACGGCTCCTGCAGCTTTCCAACAGGTAAACTGATTTTTTGCATCATTTGCAAAAGCTCTTGAAATACTGGAAACGTATTGATCATCATGCAAAGATTCCAGAAGATTAGGTCTTGTTGATGCGATTTCTTGAATTCAAATGTCCATTACTTTACGAAATTATGAAAGCAACATTATTCAACACAGTAATAAGCCAAGAATGTCCTGTTGAGAGCACGTTCCTCGTAAAATCTGTCATAACAATGGTTGTAAGCTCTCTCATTAAGTTTTCTGATAAAGCAATGTCCATCTTCTTGCTGTTAATTTTCAGGATGATGGTAGTGCTCTTGAGCAATATTAGAAGTTCACATAACACCATCAAGGCCTTTTTATTTGCCACTAGCAATTACTAAAGTTTCAAAAGACTGATGATGTCA